TAAGTAAGAAATACAGCACATATTTTTAATTGATGAGTCCACTAATCTCAAGTAGTATTTGAAAATTCATAGCTATGTGTACATACATACAGATACAAATAAAATGTTTCTTTGTATATTCTGTAAGCAAAATATTCATCAGTATCTGCAGTAATTAGTTGTTTCTGGGTGCAGGCAAAGAAACTGACTATTTTTCAAAATGTACTAATATTATCTACATGGACATAGTGGTGGTCAAGGGAGAAGGATCAATTTCTTTCACTGGGCAAAAGAATTACTAAGAGATACGCTTACAAAATTAGCACTATCAGGCATCTTTACGATCCAATAGAATGGACAATTACAATTTGAGAAGAAACTTAGAAAATATTTCTCACTCTAAAAATTCAAGATGAAGTCATAAATTACTGAATCTATATTAGATAAAGGGGATAGTTTCCATTACTTTGTAATAATTCAAGAGGTTTATAATAAACATATTTCATAGAGGTATTATTCATAATTGAAACATCTCATATCCAACCACATATGTGATATTTTTGTCTTTGTCCATAATATCATAAAACATTTTTATAAAACTTAAGCACCAGAGTTAGAATCATTTACTTTTAATCATCTTTACCCATTTTTAAAATAACTATTTTTTTATTATAAATGCAATAAACTTTTTGTAAATCATTTAAAATACAGAGAATTACAAAGGTATAGAAAAGAACTAGCCACAGGCATAACAACTGGAAATAATTAACACTTATAGTCAGATCTTTATTTTTATATATTCACTTAATAGCATGCAGATCATATCATTGATAGTTTTTAGTAATTATTTAATATTTTATTCTTGGACAAACCATATTTTATTTGCTTCTATGTTAGTTTGCTTGAGATGTTCACAAAAATTTTATTATACGTGTGTATCTGTATACTTTCTCATTTTAACAAATATTTTATTTAAAATTGATTTATAGAAGTGGAGAGAATCTTTCCTTTTTTGTAAGAAAGTATAAATCCATACAAGTTGTGGGACTGAGAGTTCCTAATTATGTAATTTTCTGTTCCATTATATCAACTATGTTTGTAAGAGAATAGACTAGTTTCTTCCTGTGTCATCTTTAACAAATTAAAAGTTTGGGTCTTTGATGATAAGCTACCTAAGTTCTCTCTCTTCACATAATGAGTTACATTACTATAAAGTAGTATTAGTATGCACCAACAATTTACCTTTCATTCATGAAATTATTCAACCACCTCTCAAGTCTACATATCCAAAAGCAAATACAGAAAGCAAATAAACTTATAAAGAAATGAACAGGGAAAAAAATAAAACAATCCTGCAAAAAACAGAGTAAGATATTCTATTTCTTCATCTTCTTTAGTGGATTACAATTAAAGTCTACTTGAATACAGAGAAATTCAGTTCTATAATGATTACCAATAGGCAGCAACTTAAAGCAATCTAGGTAGACTCTATGATAAAGCATATTATTGTTCAAAGAGTTAAAACGTGCTAAAACTAATCTGACACACTTTTGGAGTAGTAAGAGAGAAGTTAAGGTTAAAATTTTTAACCTCTTTCTATAGACAAGATAAGCACTCTAGACCATCCTGACTACCGAAGAATAGGTTGTTAATGTCAAATAAATGCATTACCTACTTGCAAAGGAAGAAATGTGATCAATACCAGGAAAGCCTGGAGTTCACCAGCCTGCTATGCAGAAACTCTACCATGCTAATTGATAGACAAAAATCTTTCACAGAGAATCTTATAGTAATATAATTTTCAAGACTACATTTTAAAAGTATTAAACTTATACTTTTGTTTTTAGAATTAGAAAAACATTTAAATAATGAACAAATTATCCAGATAACTATACGCTGATAAAAACTGGACTAAGAAATCTCCATACTCAAATATCACAGCTTAGCATTACATAAGAATTGAGGGGATTTGGGGTGCTTAAATTCTTCCTCTATCCATTTAAAACTAGAAAGATCACTGTGAATATGCTTTCCTAATTATATTTCTAATGGAACATAAAACATGAGAGCCCATTCTAAAATAAAAATATATGCAACAAAACTGATGAAATACAGATAAGTTAATACATGACGTGAGAAATGTTTCCCTTCATTCTAGAAAAAGTAGAGCATCTAACTTGTGCATGTAAAAATAATATTAGCTTTCTGAATGAAAATTGATAGCTTCGTCCAGCTCATGAATCAAAAGCCAGTCTGTATAAATATTTTTGTCCATGAAAAAGAAAAAAAAAGAATCAACACATTTCCAAGTGATTTTGACTCAAATTACTTCTGACTCAAATTACTGATTCAAGTTGAAACAAACAAATAGATTTGCACTACTAATGTAAGGCAAATGGCATTAAGCACTACAAGCCATATAGCAGTTCTTTGCATGCTATAGTTTCTTACTGTAATAGATACAGTGAGATTGTCCTTCACATGCTATTCTTTTTCTTTTTTCTTTTCTTAAAAGATATAAGTGATGGGATATTTGCACATCTGAGACACTTTCGTGTTTATATTCATAGTTCAATAATTCCAAACACCACTATTAAGTACACAGCAGAAATGGGGGGATTGTGAGAGCTATACAACAGAGAGGACACACTTGGGGTGGTGTGCAAGTCCAAGGTCCTGGCCATCCAGTCCATCCTTTTCTCACCCAAAGAAGAAAGTATAGCGAATACAATTGAGTGAGAGAAACATTAATTCCATAAATAACATTACACCTATTTAATAGAATTACAAAATGCAAATCAATTTCAAATTTTAGGAAATCATTATTAGTAACTAATTACTCACCATATGCCTCAGAACTAATAGAAAAATAACATTTTTAACACTTCGTTTCACAATTACTATCCTAACCAATCAAACACAACTAACATTCACTCACACTTTAAGATGGACTTTAACAACAAGGTGATGCAGAAATGAGTTTCATCTTATTTATGCAAGAGAAATAAAACTGCTTTTAGGTAAGTTATTTTTACTTTCAGGTTTCTACTAGATTTTCTCATAACAGACACTTCTGCTACTTTACAAATGACATAAAAAAATTCCAACAGTTTCAGGCTTTGACTCACCTTTGGTATATGTCACAAAGATTATATTTCTACATAATTACAATTCATAGGCAAGTAAAGGCCTTAGAAGTTTTTAAATTATATTTATAACTGGAAAGAAGAACTATGAATAATCTCCTAACATTTCCCAACATTTATCACACATTTATTGCTATATGTTATCCAAAGTTGAAGAAAAGTAGTTGCTTCCTTATGGACAGTATTACTGAACTCTCCTGCATGATCTATAAAAGAAATCATTTAATCCTACTAAAATTTCACATTCAATTTTTGACAATGCTGTGAGGATAAGCTTTTTTTCACTCATTTAAAGGTGTTCACTATTGTATCATACATATACAACGATATGGATATGCAGCTTTCAGAAAATCTAATGGGTAAAGCCAAGCTTTTTTTTTTTTTTTTTTTTTTTTTTTTTTTTGGTTTTTCTCCGGTACCGGAAACCGAACTCACAACCTTGCGCTTGCCAGGCAGGCGCTTTTGCCGCTGAGCTAAATCCCCAGCCCCAAGGCCAAGCTTTTAAACACACTAGATAATTGAAACTCAGGTACAGGTGCCATTGACTAAAAGAGTCTTCATTATACATAATGTGTTACTGCAGGCATTCATAAACAAATGTTTTATGTGTGTTAAAAATGAAACAATCCCTACAGTATCAGGTTAGTCACATATTTTATGGACTATAAGCATGGAATATGGTATATCTGCATACCAAAAGTGCTATAAATTAAAATGCTAAATATGTTACTTAAACAAGGATGGCAGAACATGCCACCCCCAAAGATGCCACGCTGCCACAGAGATTACTGCAAGTTTAAGGCACTCAGAAATCAGCAGCTGCAAGAACAGCTTATGAATTTCTGCTTTTCTTCCTGAAAAGGGGCTCCTATCTCATGTGACAGGAGCCCTCCCTCTGGAAGAAGCCAAGAAACATTCTTTGATGGTGAGTCATAGCTGGGAGAATTCAGTAAAACAGACCTTGTTAAAAAATAATTCTTATCTTCCTTTAGCCTCTTACATAAAATACTTTTCCACAATTACCTCTCTTTGTTCAACCTACCACAAAACTAAGAAGGTCTGTCACATCTTTAGGTCTTCACTTCTGTATGAAAACTCCTGTTCCTTGTAAAACTTCTATTAAATTTATATGCTTCTCCTCCCCTTTAATCTGTCTTTGATCAGTTTAACTCTCAGGTCAAAGTAGCACCCAAGGAGGGTAGAAGTAAAGTTTGCCTCTTCTAACACTTAAGAATATGATCACTATTACACTTGCATTTTCAACTAATGATTTAGAAAATTAACGCCTGTGTCTTTACACATTATATCTGCTATCCATTAAGTGAAAACATAAGCTACAAAGCATTCCTATGGGGGAAATAAAGATCTTCCAAGTGGGACCAGTCTGACAGCTGGAAGCTGCTTTTAGTACAGTCATGCTTGGTGATCAACTGCTTCGAAACTCATCTAATTCAGTACTCGACACAAAACATTCTGTGCTGGTACCTGTTTGTATGGCACTCAACCCACAAGCCCCTGACTCCCTGCCCTTTCCAGCCAAAACAGCTTGTTTACTTGTCATTCTGGGGACTCTTCACATCAACTGAACCAATTAGCAATGAGGACAGAGGCACCACTGTAGTCATGTTTAATTGTGCAGGTTCTTCTCGATATGTGTGCACATGCACGCACGCACACACATACACGGATACACATGAACAACTGTGAGCTTATACATCTATCTATGATATTTAAAAGAAACTATTTGAAGTGTAACCTATTCGTTATAAAATTCCCAATTTGTCTTGGCCTTATTACCTGAGAAAATATCAGACTTTTGTTCCCACATTTGAAATCAAAAATCCCATATTGGCAACGGGACGGGAGATGACTTACCGGTCCGAAGGAATTACTGTCAAAACTGTGTCCGTGATGATCACCTTCGACCCAGATGTGACCGCGGGGAACTTTGACATACCGGTTTTTGTGTCCCATGGTTCTAGGAAGAAACAAGGGAGACACTGAGACAAGCACAGAAAGGAATTCCGACAACTCAGCACACACATTTCAGAAGGGCAGAAATGACATAAAGACCCGATGGGTTTGAGTCATTTCTGGGGAAATGACTTAATTTCTTATAACTTAATTAAAGTTAATTAAATAAATAACTTATTAAATAATTAATTAATAAATAACTTAAAGTTAAGTGACAGTGTCAAGTGAAAGGAACGAGACACACAAAAGTATCACATGGTTTCTCTTATATGAGAAATATAAACAAAGAACAACATAAAAGACATAATAGGAAAGAGGGAGACAGATCTTTTTCAATTGGAAAGGGGACCAAGAGATGAGAGCAAGGAGGAGGGATGGGAAGTGAAGAAAGTGAGAAAAGAATTAGGATCTACAAGTATTAACTTCCTACAAGGAATGTAATGATCATGTACTGCAAACATGTACTAGTAAAACCAAACATTTAAAATGATATAAAAGATACAACAGACAGGTTAGCTGTATAACTGGTCCATAACCTCATTTTTAAGTAAGATGTGCTTAGGTTACTATAGACCTATTCACATTAATTTTTAAATTTCTAGAAGTAGGCATTTTGTGTTTAAATAGAATCCACTAGCAGCAAATACAATGTTTTGCTAATTAACTACAATATATAAATAGGTACTTATGAAACTGAATAGATGCTAACAAAATACAGATACATTTATTTTCTAACATTTGCTTGTATACAAATATTTTTTTTTCCAATTTACTCATGGAAAGCTACAATCTTCATTTTTCTCAGTTAAACCTCTCAAAGTAACCAACAACATTTTATAAACTCTTTCTCTAGAATTCAGGATTTATAAGAAGAAAAGGAAGGAAAAGAACGTATATGATTTCCTGTGAGATAGAAACAGCATCATTTGAAAATTTTTGGTGAGCACTAAAGTAATCTTAAAAGCAAAAAAAAACCTAGCAATTTTGAAATTATTTAAAGATCAGTGATAGATAAAGCACATTTAATAGAACATTCTATATTCTTAACGCTGGCAAGAAAAGGAAAGAAAGATAGGCTTTCTCACACAGTGTCAGTGGTAATATAAAATGATAAAACCTTTTAACCTGTATTTCTAATTTGGATCCATTTTGGTAAATTTTAAGGACTAAAATGTTCATATCTTTTGAATTAATTATTCCACTTATAGAAGTTCAATCTAAAGGAATAATCAGGAATACGGACACGTATTTGTTAACAGAGGTGTTCAATCGGGGATTTGGATAGCCTCCCTGACCATTTTACCTAAATGTCCAACAACACGGGGTTGGTTAAATAAATTCTGATTCAGTAATTTTTAAAAAAGAGATTGAAATAGAATAAAACATTATCTCAATCCCAGAACAATAAGTTCTTTTTCAAGTGGAGACTGCTTTCCTTTTTTCTTTTTTTCTCTCTCTAAAGCACCCTGGAAAAGTGCCTAACATAAAGAGAATTTTCAATAAATGTTTGCTGAATGAAGGAATGAGTGAATATCATTCCCAAGGTAATGATTTCAGAAACTGAGCATGCCCTTCTTTCCTTTGATGTGGAATCTCTGTAAGACCAGTTTTGTTAGCAAGTCGTATACATACAGAAGAATCCGTAAAAAGGAAATTAAACATAAATTGGTGCTATAGAAATTGAAACTATTCATTATCTGGATGGTTATTAATTCCCAAGATAATTTCGGTGTTGAATTACTTTGTTTTAGATCAGTAAGTCATCCATGCAAGGAAGCAAAGTTGTGGCCATTAGACCCCACAGTACATTAATGACTGCTGTTTATTTTTTAATTACCAATGAAAAGAAGGTGTTCAGCTTTTCAGAGAAAAACAAAATCAGTTGAACACATTTTACCATCATAGACTTTGTAACAGGAGCATTCTATTAAAACCAATTAGTTCCTGACATCACCACTGCTTTTATCATGAAATTTTTTCTAAGAATTAATATTCCACATGAAGTATTAATGACGAAGAGAAGATCCTGTTACTTAATTGTTAGAAACCCATAATCCCCAAATAAATCCAAGTGTTTGTTCACCTTGTTAGGCTGGTATTTTGGACAAATACTTGGAAAGAAAATGATTTCCAATTTTGTCTCTCAAATAACCATTCAAGGATCATAGGTTGTATATGTAGGAAAAACACACAGAGTTTGTTACTATTACAGTTGTTATTATCTTAGAATATACAGTATTACCCATGGATAATTGTGAACAACTGCGTGCGTGCATGCGTGTCTGTGTGCACACGTGTGGTACAGGTGCATGTTCACAGTGTCTAGCGCTGTCTCAGCAGATCAGAGAAATGTGGGTTTCTGTGGATGAAGCAGTTTCTAACCGACGTTTGCATGCAGAGCGCTAGATTGGGAGGGCAGCAAGAAACCCGGCGCCCTGACCCTCGCTTGCCTCTTCCTTCCTGAGCCTTTCAAGTTAATTTAACATGAACGTCTTTGTTAGGAAAGTTGCCAGCAAGGACCCCACATCGTCTCAGCCTCACAGCAACTTGAAATGTTCAGTAGTTACTACCTAGAGTGCCGGGTGGAGAATTCTGAGGACTCCAAGAAGCTTTGTGGGTGAGAATCCCACTGCTTGTTCATGTCTGCACCGGGCCCAGAAATAGCAAGGGACAGCATTCCTCAGTAAAGTCAGGTAACAAATAATGAGAACATAAATAGCAATGATAATAATCACAGTAAGACTCTCCTCATCAGCACATTGCAGTGATGGAAGTGAAGGTGCTTCGGGAAATTGGACACATAGACTACATTTTTTGATTGTGGGAGAAAGATTTTTTTAAAGTTATAAAGTAAATCCAATGCAAAATCATTTCTACAATGAAACAGTAGAGTTTAAGCCAAACGTAATCTTCTAGAAACCAGAGAACGACACAAAACCCAGACTGAGTTTCAGTGATATGAACGAAGGAATCAAAACACTTGTGTAAGAAAATGAGAGCATCGTAAAAGTCCCAGAGACAGTTGTACATTCCCTTCAACTGACCATCTTACCTAAAAAGTTTAAGTAGATCCTTTATCACATTATTCTCCAGCCACTTCTAACGCTTGTGTTTGTGGGTTTGCTTCCTCTCTATCTCCCCCTACTAGAATGCAACCTGCAGAACTTTGCTTTTCTTACTCAGTTCAACAGGGAAGCCCAGAGCCCAGAAGAATACATTACACGAAGTGCTCAACAACTGTTTTTTAAATCGATGAGCAAGTGAATGAATAACTGAAGAGTGAAAAATTCTGCAAAATTCAGTGGAAAGTACACAGATTCTAGAAACAGACTAAACCAGTTTTATTATTTATACCATTGCTCACAAGTAATCTTGCGGGAGTTACTGGCATTTGGCCCAGCTTGAAAGGGAAAGAAGAAGACACACCCTAACTGGGTTGAGAGGTAGGTTAGTAGTCAGGTGCACATTTTATAACGAGGAGTCATCCAACCTTGTCGTTCATATCCGAATTAACACTTTCAAGCTTATGCAATCTTGGGAAACTTGGTAACTCTAAGTGTCAATTTCCTCATTTATAAAACTAGGTGATAAAAGCAGCATACATTAAACACCTGTTAAATGGATCTTTTTATAGTTGAGAATGGTGCTAGGTAAAGCTCTGAATATATTTCTGATATATAGTCAGAACCCAGTAAACAGTGGGTATTATTCTATCATCTTCCTTGGTCCATTATTTTCTTTCATTTTATGATTCAGAATGTGCTCAAACTCATATCTGTTAACATCAGTCTCTTTAAAATTACCTGAACCACGCTTCAATAGTTTCCTTTCCCCCACTGTCGTGCTATGGCTATGTACTATGTTTAACGAAACAAAGAATTTTCTTCTTTTTATACTTATTTCCTTCTGAGACACTCTAACATTTATACATAAAAACACTATTAGTGCATATTCAAATATGCAGAGAGTTGTAGGTGGAAGCCCAGTGTATTTAATGATTTCACCTACTACTTTTTGCCTATTTAAATGCTGCCACGCTAATACACAATGGCTTGCCTCAACACTAGACAAGTACGAAGGAATCCTTTGAGCCGAAGAACTCCAGTAAAATTCACGGCAATTGCATAACACATATTCTATTTTTTAGGTTTCAATCTAACTTTATAAAGAGTAAGCCAAAGTAGCTTTAAAAATATGATGTTAAAATATTGGGCTAGTTCCTTTTAGGGCTGCCAAAGAAATATAATGCTCCTAATAGAATTTCTCAACAGAAGGAATTTTAAATAGCTTTGTTCTCCTGAATTCACATAAAAGAAAGACAAGATAATCCTTTAGGTGATTTAACAGTTAAGTGGAGTGTCAGCCTACAAGGTTGTATGTATCTATGGCTTGCAAATAATTTCAGTTTTGACAGTCCAAAAATGAGTTCTATATGGTATTCTAAATACCTATTTTTAAAAAAGCACTAGTTTTATCAAGACAAGTCACATAGGTTTTACAAATGAAATAAAGAACAATTGCCTCCAATTGGATTTGACCTTGAAAATAGTGATTTTAAGTCTCTGACTCTTTCATGTGTCATCAGTTGAATACAAAAGTACTGTCCATGTCATTCTTGGGAGCACAGGAAGAAAATACAAACTTATTGAAAGTATTTCACACACAGTGTTAATTTAAGTAGCTTGTATTAATGATATTCGTGATAGATCATAGGTATTCATATTTACTTTTCAAATGGTTCTATTGAATTTTATTGCTGTCCAAAGCAGTGGCTGCCCTGGGGATGTTTACTGCTCCCTGAATCTTAGACCCTCGGTTTTCATTTTCTTGGAGACCCCAGGAGTCAAAAGCTCAGAGCATAGCAAAATAAAGAGTTGGAACATCTTCATTATCACAACAGTAGTATCAAGAAAAGAAATCTATTATCAGGAAAGAAAATGAAGAAACACTTGCTGATCTAGTGTTGGACTCCAAATGAGAAGATAATTTTCCCTTAAGAATCCA